CCTTCGCTTCCCTTTCCCTTTCCTTCCTTCTCTGTACCTTTGGATGGATGGTTTTATCGGTTGGAAAGTAAGTTTACCCTTTGGAAGGGTAATTTTACCCTTTGGAAGGGTAGTTTTGCCCTTTGGAATGGTAATTTTACCCTTTGAGGCCTAGGGCGAATCCCCTTTTTGTTGTTTGCGGTTTGTTTTACGTTTGTTTGTAGGGGGGGAATTGGCTAGGGCGCCAACTGTGTTGGCGAACACACCATGACCCTAAACCTTCACCCCACTGTAGTCCGCGCACCCCCCTCCGCGCTTTTTTTGGGGGGTCTCCAACAACCCCCTGGCCCTGATCGTGTCCGACCATCCCGCCTGCCACTGGGCACCAAACCTCCAGGGCCTTTCAGTCGCCAGTTTTGTGAGGACCAGGCGCGGCGCAGGGCCAGGTCCACCGTCTCCTGCAGCTGAAGCCAGGTGAGTGGAGACGGGCGGTGAGTGGTGCGTGGTGTGTGGTGCCCGGTGCCACGTGGTGCGCATGCACCAGGCAGCGTTGATACAGGCCAGATCCCCACCAAAATGGAGCAGATAAAGGCTGCCCAAAGTTCATCATGGCTGGCATGCCTAGGGAATTCAGGCCGAAGTTCAGTTTAAACCGTTTTAACATGTTACATCTTTCAAAGGTTGGGGGGTGGTGGTTCTAGGGTTGCTTTCCAATCTTCTTCAGACCCAAGAACAAGTCAAACACGCAACCTGTGAGCATTGCTTCAACTTGTGCATGCATCAAAACCTGTGAGACAACTCAACAAACTCAAACGTCTGTGGATGATACGGATGTTCCATCTGCTCACATCCTGTCGCATACAACCTCCACAAAAATCTAAGAGGGACCTCAACATCCTCAACTGTGACCCTCCACTACAATCTGTAACATGAGGATGGGTCATGGCACCTATAGCCTTCCACCATGTACCGAACGAACAATTGCCTTTTTTCAATGGGTTATAGGTATACGTTCCCTAGGGATCCAAGTACCTCCTCAAAAAGTACTTGGACACTCCAAACCCACCCCAAACACCTTCTCAGAGGGTACTTGGATCCTTAGGGGTTCAATGTCCTGGTGCCATGACCTGCCGCACGAACTGGGTCCTCGGCCGTCCCCGGGGGGTCCTGCACCGAGGCGTCCTCATCCTCCGGGCACAGGCCCTCGCACAGCGCGTGGAAGGTACGGAGACCCCGGCGGTAGCAGTCGGAGCAAATGTGCGCCTGGAGACGGAGACGGAGACGTGCGGCTGAAGGGTGGAGATGGTGGACCGGTTTTAGTCTTGAAATGGTTGATTTAAATGGACCAGGGTTGAATAATTAGGTTGGTTCAGGTTCATGCCAATGAAGAATGGTGTATATAGCTCAATTGTCCGGGTATGTTCTTAGCCTCCCAAGATCTCCCAAGAGGTAAACACTTCAACATTGAAATGCGTCGTGATGGTTTCATCACGCGTAGTAGCTCCCCAGAGAAACTCTTGTACCAAGGTTATATATAGTCATTATTGATATTTTTATATATCAGTTTCAATCCTGACGCCTGGTCATTCTCTCTTGTACTTCTTCCCTGTCCAGGACCATCCAAATTGGTGCTTGGGAAAACATGCATGACTTTCATTCCCTAGGGCTCCAACCACCTCCTGAGAAGATGGTTGGGGTGGGTTTGGGGGGTCTAACCACCTTCTGAGGATATGGTTGGAGCCCTAGGGTTTATACGAACTACCTCCTGTCGATCTGCTTAGACCCAAGGGTTTCTGATGTCACAGGGTAGAAGTGGGCTTGAGATGCGACAGATTGGAGCTTGGCTTGCAAAATCATGGACGGATATAGGGTGTTTGATGGTTATTGTTGATGTTGTTGTTGTTGTTGTTGTAAGCTTGGCATTGAGACAGATTCCAAAGCACTTGGAAGGTCCAACGGTCCAACGGTCCCTTCGGCCGGTCCGACAGTCCGAGGTGCGCAGGTGCCATGACCGTGACCAGCGAACTGGGACACGGCCGCGAACTGGTTGAACAAGCTAAAAGGGTTTGGCATCAACCGTTCGCATGCTTCGGCGCAAGATGAAAAAGCAAAACAAACAGTGGTAGTCATAGCAAATTCCATAGACTTGCCTCATTGGTAGTCATAGCAAATTCCATAGACTTGCCTCATTGGATCTCATTGGTTCATCTGGGTGAGACTCTAAGAATGCACTGCCTCTCCCCCCCGAGCCGAAAACGTCACCAGCTGGGGCACCACACCGACCGACAACCGTCGCCCTTTTGGCATCGACCTCTGTTGTAGAGGCGGCACCTGAGGATGAACGACCCTGGGGGGATGGGTAGGGTTCGGTACGGATGCGATGGGTGCGTGGTGTTGGTGTGCTTTGGTTTTGAAAGAAAGAGCACCTCACACCTCCATATATGCCGCATTCAAAAACATGTTCCCAAAAAATACCAACCATGATATGTTATAATAATATATATACTTTTTATACTATACTTATACTATACACTTATAATTATAGGTAAACCTTACATTGACCCCTCAAACTATACTATAGGTCAACATGCCAGTCAAAACACTCCAAGCTGAGAAAATGCATCCAATATTCAGGATCCTTAAGGAACCGGTTCGGCCCATGCTCAAGTGCAGGAAACAAATCAAACATCAGGAGTCAGGAGTAAGCTGTTTATGATCATTCAAGAGTTGGGTTCATCAGGCTTCGGCCCAGGAGCATTCACAAAACAAACGTGGGTTCAGCACCCTCCAAGACATCCAAAAACGGCGCCCGCAAGCCAGGCCCGCTTAAACCGCTGGTCCTGCGGCCGTCGACGAGTGAAAAACCGCTCGTGGTCGAGCGGCGGCCCGGGCAGCGACGGCGGCGCGAGCTCAGCGGGTGGAGCAAGGGCAGCGGCGCTTTTCGCCTGTGCCTCTGGGAGAGGAAACCTGAGGACTCACTGGAGTGGAACCCATGGAACCCTCAAAAAAACGGACGCTTGTTGAATCAACGAGTGATCAGACAAACACCAAGGCGGTGATCCTCTTCTAAAATCCAAGAAGCCTCCACCTGACAGGTGGGGGAACCTGAAAAGGGACAAATTGTTTGTACTTTGCAGATTCTGTCTTGCATCTTGAACAGAACGGGGAGGCGTTGTTGGCATTTACTTTTTGCGATGGAAGACAATGTCACCTCACATCAGAGTGTTTGGGAGGGTGGCGTTGGCATAATAGTAGGAGGGACCAGTCATCCACGGGGTCCCTACACCAATGCCCTTCTTAGGTTTTCTTAGAGGGCGTGTGGATACCAAGCAACTGGCTTTGATCCGGCTCAACCATCCCTCCAAGGGGGTGCTTCCAAGGAATTCGCTCCTGGAGGGAGTCTGGGGTCTCAAACCCCTAGGTTGAGGGCTGTTTGGAGCTCAAAAGACCCCTGGAAAGACGCCAAAAGACCTTCAATCTCTGAGATTTCGTTGAGGAAGCTTAGTGATTTGGAACATGTACCAATCACATCCAATCACCCTGCTTCTTCGCGGTTCCAAACAGGGTCATACCCAGAACTATACCCAAACCATCCATGCATCACCCCAACCGATCGGCCAATCACCCCCGTCCCAGAGCGTCCGGGTTCTGGTCCTGCAGCTCCACGACATTGGACATCAACCGACCCAGCTTAGCTCCCATGCCTTCTCCCTAGGGATCCAGTCGTACCTCCTCAAGTTCGGTACGACTGGACCCGAACATGGCACCCACCTCAGTCCCACCGAACCTCAGAGGGTACGACTGGATCCTTATAGGGTCTACTTCCACCCGACTGTCCTCACAACCTCCACAGCGCCCAACCTGCCAACCGTACGCCCCGCATCGCCCCGCATCGCCCCGCCTGCCAACCGTTGAAGCGAGTGCCCAAATAGGAGAGGTCCAAAATGATCTTGACTCTGACCTCGGCTGCTCCGCCGCTCCGTTCTCTTCTTGCGGCAAGGAGAGAAGTGTTCAGTGTTCCTCCCAAGTTAAGTAGGTGAGTGAACACACAATGGTGAAACCATGCAAAATTCCGTTGATTTAGTCTCCCCTCATCTTAAAAGCAACGGACAATTTTTACCTGCTTTGCTTCCTTCAACATCCCCCAGGCGGCTAATCCCGTGTTTTCTGCTTTCCTTTCCAAGCTACCATGTCGTACACAGGTCGACAGTAGGCGCAGCTGCCGCCATGGCTGCAGCAATGTAGTGTTTTTGTGTTTGCTAACTTGTCATCTCAAGCTTCATTCTAGATTCCTGACAACTCTAAAACCAAAAGCAAAAAATATATGTATATAGTTATATATATGTTTATTTCTATGTATGTACAATATAACAAAACACAAAAAGTTGTGACCCTTTCTTGCCCTGAACCTCAACATGGCGACATCATGACAGCTCAATTCATGTGTCTGTCACGTGTCATGTGACGTGTCATGCGACGTGTCAGAGGAGCTCCCAAAAGCTCTGCTGCGAGAGTCGGAGCTGCTCTGGTGACTCGCTCTGCACCATCAGCCACGGGGGCTAGTTCACCCATGAAACCTGGAGATTTTTGAATTGACTGGATTGGATGGCGCAACAGAAACAGCAAAAACTATTGGGTCCTAGCTGTCCTTTCGTCGACTGAGAATGGATCCGCGGTCTTCAGACCGACCATGTCCCGGTTTCGCGCGGAGCGAGCGAAAGGCGCTTTCGGTCTGTGGTGGAAGCTCCGGTTCGGTCGAGACCGCTGCGATGTCTGTCGATGGCAGGTCATGTCCAGCACTGCAGGTCATGTGGTTTGCTTAAACCTGTACGCTACTCTGATCCTACCCTGTCTTCTCAGCGACATCCATGCAACAAACTCTATGACTCACGGCATTCTGAGCCCATTGGGCCCTTTCACTTAGATCGCAAAAGGAACGCCGCCTACATTCATCCCAAGAAAGGCAGGCAGCGGCTGCCACTGCCACTGCCAGGAACAAATGCTAGTACTGAGGCTCCAGCTTCAAGGAAGAAATAGTAGCTCGCGGCGGTGCAACGCATCTGGATGCAGAACGAGGCCATGAGATGTAAACGCATTGCAGCACGCATCAACGCATTGAATTTGCGCCAAGTTCACGAGGTGTCAAAAAGAACAATCCCGGGAAGTTCTCCTTGAGATCAACCCAGGAGGAGGCGTTTTTTGGAACCAAATATCTCAAGGATGATCCTCCAGATAGGTCCCAACCCCTCTGATATCCTCTGGTTCTTACAGACTATTTGACCCTAAGTGCTTTTTGGATCTTTTTGCCCAGTGGGGGAAGTGGACGCATTGGGCATGCCCACATCTGTGTTTGTAGGTAGGCTAGATTATGACATTCCCCCAAACCAAGAACCCTCCTCTTGAACCTCTCCGATCATAGGGCTATGAAAGCTATGACCTGCTCTGGCATTGCAATTCAATGCTACTCCTACACGTGCTAGACACATCTGGCACAGCTTGCTCCACCAAAAAGGATCTTCAGCCTGATCAACTCCTACTCCATCTGGCCCAACGTCAAGGCCGACGCGAGCAAAGAAAGGGCCAGTTCACTTGGCAGAGCATCCCGAACAGAATCTACACTCTTGATGTACTCTTGATTCACATCCCGGGCGTACGTGTTCCGTCGCGTACGTTCCCCCACTTTAGGCGTCAGGCATACGTTCCCCCTATTTGCCAGGAAATCGGAGATGGCCTCGTTCCGAACCCATACCCACTGCGACCATTCTTTGAGGCGAGCGTGGAGGTTCTTCTTTGGTTCGACAAAAGAGCCGTCGCGTCGCGTTGTGCAACGGACAATCGAAGGAAGGAAACCAATTCTGTGAACACCATCCCCGTCCTTGGCTCCAAAATAAAAGCTCCAGACTCTGGGGACAGTCTGGAGAAATGGATCATGGACTCCAAATGCAGTTCCAGTATCCACCCCTCCAGCTCCCAACCCATCCAGCTGTGTGTTCAGCCTCTTCATTGGAGGGCCACACCTGCATAGAGACCTGGGGGATTCAGCAGAATTCTGGCCAAACTGGTCTTGGGAAGATTATCTCTTGAAATTGGAGATCTGCAAACGGGTCTTCAGTGATCTTCACAGGTGAATTGATGGGTGTGGACACATGGGGAGTTAGGGCCTAACAGATCTCTCCAAGAACCGACCCTTCACTGCAAAAAGACTGGATCTACACTCCTTGGAACGGCTCCTTGGATGACCATGATCCTCTACAAACAGGTCGTTTTCCACGTCCGTGATTCTTCCAGGGAGTGCAATTTCAAAAGCCAGGAGAGACTGGAAGGGAAGGACCAAATCTCTTGAAAGACAAGCGCATCTTCTCGGGAAGGAACATGAATTGGGGCGCTGGCAATGCAGAGTTTATGGATAATCGTTCTCCTTACATCAAGGAGAACAGTCAGAAAATGGAGTATGCTGCTTGTCAGCTTGTCTGAAACCCAAGGCCCTCAACGAGAATACACCTGCATTCAATCTAGTTGTTTTTGGGGTTGGCTCGGCAAGCACTGGAAAGCACTGGTCGGCTGTCCTCTACGAAGTGGGGTGCCGTAGCTAGCGAACCATTGTTGAGTCATGTCCCTTTGAGCTGGCCAGAACCAACTCACTCTAGCAACATCTCTGTCTCCGCATCTCGGTCGCAGTCGAGCAATTTCATCGTCCGCTCAAACTTTGGCAAACACAAAGAACACCCAAGCTATGTTCAGATCTTCCAATGTCGGCTGTCGGCTCAAGTATGTTCAGCAGCTACCAGCGGAATTCATGTGACCAATCTATGCACCAAAGCAATGGTGGACTCGACATGAGTATGTCCAAAAAAACATAGAAACCAACAGGAATCTGATACCACTCTTATCCGCTCTTGATTTCATGAACTTGTGTCTTATTTATGTTAGTTTTTCTCATGACTCCACTTTAGCCCAATGCATCCCGCCAAAAAATAGACTGGGCTGCACCTTCCTGTTTTTGTTTGGAACAGACATCTGATATTCTGTTGATTTTGCTTCGATGATCTTCGATGTTTTTTGAAACGGATCCGCCAGGACGTCCACTTCTATAGGACTGGAGACCCTCTCCATCCGACCACCTGAGCACGACCACGTCCGAGGCCGGCGCGATGAGATCCACGCTCCTGACGAGCGAAAGCGCGCGCGGAGCGTAGCACGGGGGGAGTCAGAGCCAGGAGCCAGGGGTAGGCCAGGACAACATCTGGATTCCGGAATGAATCGCCCCTAATTCGTGGACAAGCCGAACAAAAACACGGTTTTGGGGGGAGACCTGGGAAGGAGGGTCCAGTTATCAACAAGTTGTAAGTAGTGGTTCATGGCAGCTTTTGGATTCTGGAGTAGATGTTTTGGAATTGAATCTGGTCATTCCAAGTGAGAGATGGGATGGTGTGTCATGATGGAGGTCTGCAGCCACCTTGCTCGTGCCCTCACACGAAACTTATCTGACCCTCCTTACGCCCTCCTTGCAGTGGCTCTGCACTGCAGCGCTCTGGTGAACACCCCATCCAAAAACTATGGCCATAAGGCTCCAGAAAACCAAACACCTAAAATTCCATGTTCACCAAATCATTTTTGGGACTTTAAACATTGTAAGAACCCTCACTCATGGCCAGTCTCAGAAAGTCCCGAAGCTAGACCATCCCCTTCGAACAAAAAGGATCTGACCAGCAATTGAGTTCTCCAAGCCTGTTCGAAAACCTACGCCTGCAACGCCTGTGTGACGGAAACACTACCTAGCACTTCCAACCCATTAAGTCATGTAATTATAGGGTTGTTCACTGGTGACCCCTTGGAAGCACCTGGTAGGAATTCCTATCAACACATCCCGACCCCCTTTGAGTTCACGTGCCAAGCATCAACTTCGAGAGCCCCGAGACCAATTCAAAGGCAAAGCCCTGCGCGAAGGAGGGCACCGCAGCCAAGACCTACGGCATCTTCCAGTGGCAACCCGGTCCGAGCTAATGAACAGGGAAATCGTGACCATTCTGAATTGATCTCCGTCGTCCAACGAGTCTTACCCAGACCATGGAATAGTGGCCTAGAGGGGGTGGAGTTCTGGTCATACAATCACCCACCTGGTTCATCCAGTCCTTTCTGCACGTTTTTGCTGCTGATTGGACCATCACTCCCAGGCGTAGCGTGGCAACGAATTTCTGTAAGGTTCGGGAAATCGATTGATATAGACCAGTCACAGTCTATACCCATTGTAGGGCTCCAAGTACCTCCTCAGAAGGTATTTGGACCCTCTAAACCCTTCCAAAACACCTTCTAAGAAGGTACATGGAGCCCCAGGTTTGTGAAAATGCACATCCTTCTGTCCACCAGTGTATAAGGGGGGTGCGGGTGCATTGTCTGGTGCAAATAAATCCGAGACCATGACATGATCCAGCTGCTGCATGAAGGAAGCCAAAGAAAGATCTTGTTTACACTTTTGTCGAAACCAAAACTGTGGAGATGGATCAAATCAAATCGAAGAAACATTGGAACACATGGAGCTCAAACTGTCTCACTGACGCTTCCTGGAGATCCTTCCATTTCTTTTCCTGCAGGCTCCTCTTCCTCCAGTGTTTGAAGGTAAGATTCATGCTATAGCTGATTGCAGGTGGTCAGCTTCCCTCGCTTCGGCTATATGGATCCACATGTACCTTCGTGTTGAAGGTATGCGGATCCAGTGGGGATATGAATATGATATGGATACCCAAACACTCCATGTATGCCATATGGCCTACATTAGATTACATTAATTATATAATTAGGGTGGTTTCAGGGGTCAATGTAGGCCTGCTCCAAACATGATTCATTCCAACATCTCCCAATCAGAACAGGGCCGTGAACCGACGTGCATTTGAGACCGCTCGTGTTGAGATCCCTTCACATCCACCAAACCCCAAAACCCCACCACACCCAAATCGCCCAAAAAGACCACACCCAGACACTCCATGAGACTGCCATATATGCCTACATTAGGGTGGTTTGGGGGGTTCAATTGATCGGCATCTATGGCAGTCCCAAACACTTCGTGTCTGGGACACGTGTTTTGGTCCGCGCCTTGCCGCTCACAGGGTACAGGAACTCCGGCGACATGCAGTCTCGCGTGCCGGTGCGCTCATTGTACTCGCCTCAGTCCAACCGAGAAGAGATTCCGCCGGCGCGCGGGGGAAGGCTGGACCGTGCCCTGGAAGCAGTCAACCGGTCGAGGTTTACAAGTAGTTGCAGTTGGAGGGTTGGTAACCCAAAACAAACTGGTCTAAAGACCACATCCTTTGGAACTCCAGTTGATTTCAACTGCATTTCTACTGTTGCACCATTTTGGGCTGGAAAACTCTGATGCCCATCCACCGCCAATTGGACGTTCTGGCTGAAATCGCAGCATTTCCAGAAAACATCATCTGATAGTTCAGACAGTCCCTCTACTGTTGCACCTGTTCTTTCACTGCCAACATCTGAGCCGTTCTTTAAAGTTGCAAGAACGACACCACAAGTGGTCAAAACGCGCCACATTAGTTCGGCACCTGATTTGGCACTTCTGTGGCTTGCCTGTGTTGGATCCAAATCCGCCGGGTTTTGCACACCAGGGACCGATCCAGGAACGACACCTCTTCGGTTCGGATCGACATGCCCTGCTGTTCGGAAGCACTGAGAACGATCCCTCTCCCCTGCGAAAAAGGAGAGTGCCCCTAACCCATGCACTTCCGAATCCATCAGGACAAATATGGAAAAACAACTCACTAGTTTGTTGACTGGAAGTGTTCGGGGTTTCTCGTCCGAAAGCCACCAGAGGTACCCAGCAGGTAGTGTACTGTACCCTCGCTCGCTCCGGTGCGCGAGCGATGGTACGGCGGGTGAACCAAAAAACCACGTCTCGGTGCCAAGTGGCGACAACCGCCCCACTCAAAGGTGGTCCATAATTGGAGCCAGAAGAAGCCCAGGAAGAAACACCAAATGAACCTTCTGGAGCGTCAGTGGAGCGTCGAGCGTGGACGACCAGCAACAAAAAGCGCCTACACTTCGGCGTTCTGCCATTCGACAACTGGAAAAATTGCTCCTATAGCTATAGGTGGTTCTTGGACTACGAGTACTTGCTGGCCCGGCCCAGTGTGGAATTCGTGGGATAACATGATGAAAGCGCGAAGTAGCCTGGACCTGGTAGAGGGGTTTGCTGAGAAAATGATCGGATCGAAAACAGCCAACTCTCGGCGTGACACTGAGAGCTGTCTAGCTATGATTCCAGTGAACCCAAACACTCAACAACAAAAACGAAAGAACAAAAGCTATAGAAGAGGTGTCCCAAAACAAAACAGGAAGACCCCTCTTCTTCATTAAGGCTTTTTATTGGGCAATTTGTGGAATTGAACCTCTCTGACCTGAAAGAACGGCATACGGCTAAAAGGACATGACTCGGGTGGATGTAAAGACAGGTTTCAAGGGGAATGAGTTTGATAAAGGCTATCCACGCTAAACGAACAATCTGGATCACCCAACAGGCAACATCGATGAGATGACAAATGCAACATTAATATAACAACAACAGCAGCAGCAACAACAACAACAGCAACAACAACAGCAGCAACAGCAAAACAACAAAAGCAAAACAGCGCAGCTTAGTCGTAAACATTGTCAGTACAATGATATGCACAAGTTTGCAAGCATGGCCCTTTGGTAGTGAATCATTCTGACATGGGCCGGTCATTGAGTTGAAAGCCTATGCATTTCATGAGACAACATTATGACAAGTCACTTCTAAGTCAATACGGAGTCCTACGTGTAAAAGGAACTTGTTTGTGGAGTGAACTTGAACATTCATGTATGTATATAGATACGCTGAATTGGCCAGGATGAGCCTCTGCTTTCGCCACAAAAGACAAACAAAAAGGAAGAACCCACCTCGGTGAACGATTCCGGATGTGCTCCAACAGAAGAAACGCCCCAATCCCTCCAGCAAATCCCTCCAGCCAAGTGACAGCCATTCAAAAAGAAGAATTGGACCCTCGGTTTTTGGGACACCAAAACCCTCGGTGCCCTGGACACCATGATCTTTCTAGGACGCCCGAACATGGATTAGGTGGATGGCGGTTTCCTGGAGAATGGCATTCGGATGGAGAATGGTCTTCCGAACTCGGGATCATGCCATCTACTTTCATGTTAGTTCCAGGGGGTCTACACACTCACACATTGGTTGAACATGGGTCCATGTAGGAATGGAGTTAAACACCTATAAGGTCACTTAACCTCTCTTGGTTGACGCCTTCAAATATCTCTGCTATTTAAATACGCTTCGATCGCTGAACACCAAGAATCTTCATCAAGGGCAGGCCCTGCCTGAAAAAGACTGAGTAGATGCTGAAATGCTAACGACTTTGATTCAGTTTGAGGTTTCTAACTGTACTTGTTCTTGACAAGCCTTTCCCTTTCACGTTTGGAATGGAACCAATGGGGTATGCCAGCATACCGGTAGCCTCAGCAGGCCCATCACTTCCACCTTGCACGCGCCGGTGCCTGCGTGCTTCATTTCGCCACGGTCTCCCAGTGGATCTGTCGGAGTCCTCACTCTTCTCCACTCTCCGGAGTCTCTGGACTTCTCCATTGTGACCTCAACGGTCTTCGCACGGACTAGTCCTCAGCGTTTGCGCTTGAGTCACCTCTGCCGACGTCCGTCTCCTGGCTCCCCCTGCTGCTCCGCCAACGAAGACCAAGCCGCAAGGCTGCTGCTCCTGCTCCAGCTTCATCCTCTCCTCAGCCCTTGTGCTCAGACTCCACATGGTCGTGCATTTGCACTCATGCTCACTCCACATCAGGTTCTGGGCGCCACGTTCCAGCAGCTAATTTAACGACGGAGTCCGACTTGTGCTGTGACTGGAACCATTCCGTGATCAAAGCACCAGTCACCTGTCATTTCTAGCTGTTTTAGTTCGCACTGCGCAGCAGCAACGCCAGCTGCAGTGGACATATCTTTCTCTGCTGAGGGGTAAGCCACCTCGTACAAGGGCAAGCCAGTTCCAATCAAAACATATTTACAGTAAAGCAATATTGAGGAATGTGTTTTGCGTGTTTTGTAGGGCTTTGCTTGCCTCAAGGGTTTGCAGTCCTGTTTTAAAGTGCTTGAAAACCACCCTGCACTGGACAAGGGCACGCCGCTATGAATGAATCAAACATGCTTCTATTGAGGTGACAAGCCACCTCCGATTAACCTTTTTGCAAGGGCAAGCCACTTGCTTTGCCTCAACAAAGGCACCTCAGGGTTTCACAGTACACAGTGCAATACGTTTCTCAATCATCTTTAGGCTCAAAGCTTTCTGGACTTTTTTCAGGTCCTACACATCTGTGGCTGTTTCGGCTGATGGAAATTGCAGGGGTAAAAACTCGCTCAAAACTGATGGAAATTACTGGGGGTACCAGGGGCAAGCCACCTCTGATTGATCTATGGAATGAGGGGCAAGCCATCTCTATATTACTTTTTGCACATTGATGTATATATATATATTCCCAAAAATTTCCCAAACAATTACATCCACAAAATCTGACACATAGGAATCCTGGCCAACCATTTTGATTTAATGCAATTTACATCTTTTTACCACGCCAATCGTTGCTTTACTGCGGGTTTGAGACTACAACGCCAGGTCGACCGTCTTTCTTGGTCTTTGACAAGGGATATCACCCAACAAATAGGGGGAGAGGGCATTCTTGGGATTTCCAGTGAACATGTTGCTGAATACATTCAATGTAACCCATTTGAGAGTTCTCTAATGGCCCTTCCAAAGAAAAGACAACCGGCCCTTCCCACCGTGTAATATCCACTGTTTCGCCAGGGAGCGCAACAGAGCTCGAAGCGCACGTTCCGTCGCAGGCACGCCAGGAACTTGGACTCCTGCCACCTGCAGGCGGCTAGAAGACACGACGTCCTTGGAAACAGGGCCTTGGCCGAACATCATCCGTAATCATATTATTGCTATATGTAGCTCAATTCTGTAAGGTTGAAGGTCAATGCAACTCTCTTATTCTGTTGAATCATGTTGAATATGATTCTTTAAGGTTCAGGGTAAATGGTGCAAAAGTTTCAGGGAAGGTGACCAAAAGCAATGCATCTATCCAAAGTCTGGCTGCTACACTGATACATGCGACCACAGGATCTGTCACTGGGCTCCAAAAGTGCCCCCCCATTCCAGAAACCAAAAATAAGCATTTGACCTGGTCGATGTTGGCAGATGCTCCAGCCTGAAACCCAAATCACGACTTCCAGATTCAGTCAAGCATCATTGAGCCTCTCTTGTCTCATGACGAAGCGTACTGTAATTAACCAGCATCTGCTACTAAGCCGCTAGCGGTCCAGCGGTAGGAAAAAATAAACTCAAGTGGGTCTGGGTGTTTATCAGTGCTTAAATGAATCCATCCTACCACAAATTAAAGTCCAAATATCCATGGATGATTCCAGGACCTTCCATTCGTGACCTCTTGAGGATTGGTATATGTGACATCATGGCAGTTTGGTCGTGACCGACCCCCGCCGGATCTCATTTGGACGGTCACTGGGAAGGTCCTGGTTAATGGATGTTTATCAGTGAATCTTCCTATCCCAGACGCTCCAGTCGTACCTCCTCAGAAGGTAATTGGACCCTCTAAACCCACCCCAAACACCTTCTTAGAAGGTATTTGGAGCCCTAGGGTATCTTAATCCTACCATCCAGGCACCTCATCCCCCATGGACCCGGCACCCCGCCGGAACCCGCGACTCCGGGTGTCCCAGCCGTCGCTTTGAGCTCGTCCTGCGGCCGTGATCCGAGTCCTTTCAAATCAGAAGGGGCTATGGAACACTACTTTTAACATGTAAATTGTCTGTAATGTTTGACTGTCATGTTTGACTGTCTGTCTTGTCTTTAACATTACTTCAGTCATGGTTGACTTGTTACATTGAGATTTACATGATTCCTTTTTCTTTGACATGTAAAAAAGTAAATGCATTATACTCAGGGATCAGTTTCTTACATGTAAAAAGTCTTTCGTACTTGATTCATTAAACACAGACCCAGAACAGCGCCAGGTGCGCTTTCCTTACGCCGAGCTTCACGCCTTCCCTCACATGGGCACGTCACGTCGTGCTTCGTCGGTACCGCACCTCGCATGGAAGGATTGCTCGCTGCTGACCTCGCTAGTGACTTCTTCGGACCTGAGGGGGGCGGGAGGCACCGCTTGGCACCGATTGGCTTTCTATTGCCTCAGGGAGGCAAAGACGGTGACCGCGATGTCTCTTCCCAGACACTCCATGGGACTGCCATATATGCCGATCAGTTGGGGTGGTTTTGGGGGTCAATGTAGGCATATATGGCATACATGGAGTGTCTGGGTATGGTATGTTGTCTCTTGGTATGTTGTTGTTCATGTTGTTGTCGTTGATGTTGTTAGTTGTGGTCCTTAGTTGGCGAAATGCTGGGCAAATCTGGACAAACATGAGCACCGAACACTTCACCCAGGGCCTCTTTGGTCGTTTGTGTGATTCAAAAGGTGACCAGTTATATGTGTTTAATATTGTTTAAATGTGCCAGGACCTTCAAAGTGACCTCTTTGGAGTCTGTAAGTGACCTCTTCGGGGACTAAGTGACCTCATTCTGGGATCTCAAAAGGTCACTTTGAAGGTCCTGGTGTTGAATGTTTATGTTCATGTTATGCTTCCCTCAATCTTTATACTCAATTCCAAGGTTGGAAGGCACTTGGTTTGTATGCATATGTTTCATATGTTTTGTATGTACAGTGAATCAGTGTGAATCCTTACAGCTCCACGATCATGGTAACTCAGGAATCACTGCTCGTATATCTACCATCTGCAGGATTCATCAGGCGTAGTGACAGGTAAAGGAGGTGTGACCCCGCCTTGTAGCTGGCGTTTCCCCGCTGCTTTGAGTATGAGTCAAGTTGCATCTATTGAATCTATTGGATGGTTACAATCCCGAACCATCCATGCGACTGGAATATGATATGCCGATGAATTGACCCCATTTTTAACAACCCCCCTGGCTGCCTCTCGGCAAATATGCCAGTCCCAAACAGGTCGTGTCTGGGAATTGTTGTTCTCGTGTCTGAGCATCAGCTTCGTGCAGAAAGTGGCAGGATGCTCTACACCAACCTCTGTCCCCGGCGAAAGAGAGTGTCATGAAAAAAGGGATGTCAATGGTGAACAAGATTTCACCAAAACGGAAGACCCATTCTGGATCTTCTGCAAAAACATGACTGTGGGTTAAAACCGGGTCACCCTGGTTTAAAATCGGGTCAAATGAACCGATTCCTCTACAGTATCTAAGGGTTGTTGCCACGGTGCCCGGCGAGGCACCTTTTTCTTCAACCAACGAAAGCCGACCGGTGGAAGGGATCCCAGGCCCAGGCAGCCTGAGGCTTCTCATCGGCTGCCAATGTTCTTGGAGCTTCGCCATGACCTGGGTCGACCGCAAAGGAGAGCGGAGCAACGAGATGATCTGTCCCACCCTCCGGTCTCCGAAACGGAGGGTTATGGTCCGACCCTAAAACTGTTCGAACAAACAGGTCGAACAAACAGGTGACCAGGGTGCTGGTCAGAGTGTACTGTCTTGATATGGATACTGTGCAGTACTCCTGTATCATTCAGGTTGCCTGAGCCATGTCTGCTGGCGGTTCCCACAGCACAATTGGCCTGAAACTAGTGGGCATCCTTCCCCATGAGGTTCAACGAGGCAAAACCAGCCCCCGTCTACAAACACAATTCTTTTGACTGCTTGGCCCTCAAACAAATGGCCCAGGTCAACATGAGCATTCCCACCCAGAAATCTGGACAATCTGGACCTCTGATCTCAGAAAGTGACACTTGGATGTGTCAGTTTCTTGTTCCAGTCAGCGATGTGGAGTGCAACTTCCCAACAGAAGCAGAAGCTGTTTCACCTGGTCACACTGTCAAGCTTCGGTATCCTGAACCCAACGCCAAAGCCAGTCTTCGTACTTCGCCAATTGGTCTTTCCACTCCGACTCCAACACCACTAGATGTGTCTCTTGAGTATTGTATTGATGTCTATAGGGAGATTTGCTCAGCAATGGATTTGGATCTAGTTTCCTTCTTCCAGGGTGGTCTTTGGGAGGTCATCCTGTTTGCATACACAACCAGCAAAACAGCTGGTGAATGCCCCAAGTGTCAACCCTCTAGTGCGAGACCAACGCCAAGGTTCCAGCCGGATAAGCCGTTCGGTCTTCTAGCCGCCATGTCGTCTGCGCTGAAGACTCATCGGAAGGTCAGGAATATACTGTTTCACAAAGGAATCGAGTAGATTCAATCGCTGCAAGGACCTCAAAACTGTGGTGCCCCCACGCAATTTCACCCTCAGCCATGTCATTTACTTTCAACAGCAGCTCTCACTAGCTGGGTGACCCCTGCTGCCTCTTGGCTTTCGATGGTCAGGATGCACCTGACCATCCGTCGCACGATGCTGCATTAAACCTGATACAGTATATACAGTATATAAATCTTCTGCATTCAGGTTGCAACATTCCATCAACTACCTGATATTACCATTTCATGAAATACCACAATCCATTCCATTCAATTTAATACCTCATAAATCGGATGAGATTGCAAATTCTTCAGGATATGCATGTAAATAGGCAAACTGAACCGGCAAAAACGCTCGATAAGTGAAGGAGAATGCAAGTATAGCCAGCTTTCCCCGCGAGACCAACGCGAAGGCCCCAACCACGTGATGAGGAAGAAGGTGGCAGTCGGCATGAAGCTTTGGTACGTCGTCTCATCACTCCACTTGATGGCCGTGAAAATGACGGACGCCAACCTCGGAGGACTTCGGATGAGTGATGATGAGCTGTGGACACGAGGACTGATGGAGAAAACCATTTGACAATTTGAATGTTCTGAACGAAGCACACATGATATGCCTGTAATGGGGTTTAGCTATAAAAAAAAAAAACACACAGAAACACATTGATAAGATTTCAATCTCCAGATAGGATTTCAATGGCGTTCGGCGTTAAGCCACACTTTTTGGATTAAGAGACAAACAAAAAATTGCCTAATTGCTCTCAGGCTGAGTGGCGCGATGCCCACCAAGCACACCAATTGAGAGACCTGGCGCGGTTCAAGATCCGGCCCTCAATACAGATCTGCCTTCTTGTGGATTCACTGTTCTAATGTGGTCAAATGTTTATCTGGAGAACACTCGAAGAGTATAGGAAACCGGCAAAAATGGGCCACGAGCGATCAGAAACTGAGCCAGGACTTCGTCAGAGTACAATTCCATTGCACAAATACTGATCTGCATGCAAATACAGTTACGTTACACCATCCGTTCTTCACTCTCCCATCTTCCCCAAAGCAACATCCATCGAACCCTTCTTCCCATCTGTTGGACCGCCACCGCTGCTCCGCGGACCGGCTCGGCTCCGCTCGGCTCCCCGGACGTGCCAGGCGAAGGACCAGGCCACGGCCTCGCCGAAGATCGCATAGAGCTGATCCTCGGTGCTACCCACAGCGGAGACCCGGTGCCATGCGGGTAGGAGGGGCTCGTCCTTGGTCGTGGGAACCAAAAGGGTCTTCTGAAAGGACCTGGGAAGAATCTCTTTAAACCCGGCAAAGTTGGACATGGAACCTGATGGCATGGACCGGAACTACGTACTCCTCTATACAAACCAGTGGTTTTCAGGTTCCATGTGGACCTCTTCCAGAGTGTAAACCGTCCGTGCAGGATCCCCCGAAAGGGCTCCAGGAAAGCTCCAGGTCGGTCGTCGCACCCCGACCACGAGTAGCCACTCGTAGCCCGCTTTCCACTCGTGATACAGGCGGTTAGGCGGTTTTCAAACCGGAAGGTGCCCCCCGGTGCATAGCCTGTGAGATCGAATTAGGTACCTTATGGCACCTTTGGAACTTGTTAATGACAATTTCTTGGCTTCAGGAGACTTTTTTTTTCGATGTGGCACACAACAGCACACATGCTGACATCCAAATGGCTAGACCATAACTTACATGAACTTACACAATTTCAATAACATGTTTACACTGCAATATTCTTTGTTTATACTACAGTATGTACCACAATTTTGTTACATCAAGGGAAAGCTCTAGCAGCAAATCCTCTTTACGCCTGTCAACCATCCTGGATGTTTATTAAGGGCATCAGAATCCAGCCATGGCCTCACCAGCCCAGCAAGAAAAAAACAAAACTTAAAGCACGCATCTCATCTACTCAAACACCACCTATAGTATCTATCTACTATACAAATATACTAGTATCATCTAGTATCATTTAACAATTGAGTTTCCCGGTGCTTCTTTGCACCACCAGTCTCCACCCGGGTCACACCCTTTCTGGCCAAGCGTTTTCACCCAAATGGGGTGACCTTGATGGACCCTGAGTGCCTGGCCAGGAACGGAAGGCGCCCTGCGGTCTGCAGCCTCCGAGTCCAACGGTCCAACGGTCCACTCCGGACACGGACGACGCGGAGAATGCTGCGTCGTCCAGACATTCCGCGATCCGTATAGGCCGGGTATCCAAAGGTCCCATATGAATGCGGTCGTTTGGGTGACCTTCCGCTGTAAGAAAGAGCATCTGGTCTGAAGATCTAGGAAGTAATTAAGTAGTGCATGTGCTAGGTCCCAGGTCGTCCAGCCAGGACACCCCAAACAGCGCGAATGTCCTGCTGGTTTCTTCATAAGAAAATACATCACCTACCGGGTCTTGACCAGATCAAACACTGGTCCACTGCTTCCAATGGTGGTAAGCAGGCAAAACCGGGTCAAGCATGTAGTCTACCAAAGGAAGCACTTGCCTTGATTTCAGACATGTATGTATAACATTACATGTTATATATAGTATATGTGTATGTTATAAACTATTTATACACGTATACATCCCTGTGTTGCCACTAGTTTGTGAACAAATAGACCTTTACTTAATGTCCGTTTGTCAAGGTCCTTGGTTTTGGAGGACCGAATAATCCGAACTCCTGCTGACCATGATGAGACGGACTCAATCCGACGAAGTGCTGATTTTGCACTGTAAGCTACTTGCCTGACGCTGATGGTTCGCAGCTCTACACCACTACTAATTACACTCCCAAAAAAGAATAGACATGGACTCTGCAGACCATCAGAAGGATTGACAGTCATCTGGTGTGCTTCCACCAAACAGTCATTTCTGGAAGTATCCGATGACCTCCTCTGACCTCTCCCATCGCATCCAAGCGGCCACACGAGCCTCCTGGCGTCAGTCGATCGATGGCAGGGGTCGATCGAAAGATCGAGACGAAACTTGTTCCACATCTCCACAATTCCTCTGTGAAACTCGGAAAAAGAAAAAACACATGAAATACACATTCACGTTCGACACACAAGGTATATGTGCCTACTACTTGACCCCTTCTCCAACACCCCCATGTATGTATAGGCCATTGGTTGATGTGTCTGGGCATTGGTTCCCGATTTGGCACTCCGAACATCACATCGCTATGGGATGTTCCGGTGTCTTTCCATGTAGCATCATCTAGCCACAGCCATCTTGCTTGGGGTGGTGATATGCACTTGAAGTGCACAACAACGCGTGGTTTCCTGCGTTCATCAAGAGATTGGCTGGGTGAAACCGCGAGTCCTTCATAGCTTGAACAAGGTGCCCATGGCTGGTTGCAGCCAAGTAACTGTGGAAAGCTATGGCGCAGCAAACCCAATATCCTCGGACCAAAACCAAAGACATGCAAAAAGAAATCACCCGCAGAATCCCTTGTGAGGCAACCCTGACAGAACCCTCCATCCAAATATCGGTCATGGTACACTACGAAGAAACAATGCATTACCTGGCTATGTATATAAATTCCTCTTTGAACCAAGCTTCTTGTATCCATTTCAAGTAAGGAAGGCGACCAAAGGGGCGTTTGGGGATCCGGTTCCGTGCTCCCTGGAGCCCCGTTGGAGCCCCGTTGGGGCTCCGTTGGGGCTTCGGCGAGGGTCAGAAGGGTCGAGTGGACCTGCCCGAACGGGAAGCGACGACTCTCTCTCTCTCTCTCAATTGCGCGGCAAAATAAAGGGTTCTTATGCAATTCTGTCAAGACTTCATCGTTGATCAATATACGTTTTGGCATCAACTTACTTGAACCAAACGTTCCACCAGATTTGAGTGGGGACACTCCCCAAATCTCCCAATTCCAGGTGAACGCCTACAGGTCCTTCCGGTCAATCCCCAGTCCGCTGGCAGCGACTGGTCCAGATCAGCCGACAAAGCACTTTGGGGTCCGCAGCGCATGCAGGACGAGCTCGGTACGACGAGCACCTGCAAGACCAGTTCGGTCATTGTATGGTCTCCCCATGAAGCAAGAAGAACAGCAAGTCATACCAAGTCAAAACAATCATGCATGGTACGGTTGCATGTCCTTGTTGTCGTTGTCGTTGTCGTCGTCGTCGTGGTGGTGGTTGTTGTTGTTGTTGTTCTTTTTGGTTTTTGTTGTATACTGTCAATAAGCATGATAGATGTGGGGTTGATATATATATATATATGTAATCGGTATATGTAGATTATTGTATATTCCATCTTGGTTCAACATCTCTCTCTTACAGAGTTGTAGAATCAATTGATCGCACAGTCTGGTGATGTAGGACCTGTGGTCTCAAACAGTACTGCTGACAGAAAAAACATTGCATCCAACTGAAATGCTGGGACATACCCCACAAATACATACAGTTTGTTCCCCACCTGTCAGGTGAGGGTCGTTAGATATTACGTCAGCCCCATCTCCTTCTCCTTCTCCTCCGCCTCCTCCGCGGGACCTCAACACGACCATCCACGCCCAGTGTTCCCTGCCGGAGCTCAAACACGACCATCCACGCCCAGTGTTCCCTGCCGGACCTCAACCACGACC